TATATACAAATAACAATTATGTTGGTGGTTGGCGGGTGCTCTGGTGTGGTTTGCTCTTTCTTTCCAATCAAACATCTATCGTCCTCATCTCTCCCCTTTCTTTTCTTTATATGTTACTCTCTTGTAACACCTCTAATCCTCGGCACGTATATGACCTAGTTGTGTTGCAAGTGCCGTAAAACTCTGACTGAAATAAGAATCTAAAAATATTTTTATTCATTTTATTTTTTGGGTAAGTGTTTAACGGCGCTCACAACTGCTTAAAGTCCTAACATGATGAGTGCGGGGGACACGGTCAACATGTTCAGTTGGTAGGACATTTTGAATTTTGCCCGGGTGGCGGCCGAAGCCTACTCTCGTCGATTTTAGACCATCACGGGATCTTTAACGTACGCAACTTGCACACGGGCCTCCGAATTTGTTTCGCGTTTATCCTTGACGGCTAGGTTTTACATCTGTCCTGCCCTAAGGTCAGGGGTGAGGCTGAAAGACAACAGTAAGAAGGAGCCAATGAGTGGCAGTAGAAAGGCTTCAGAAAGAGTCCGGAGCCCAGAGGAGGGGGTGCGAGTAGGGGAGGGGGGGGGCACAGAGTGGAGACAAAAGCAGACGACAGAACAAGGCCAGGGAGGAAAGAAAGCCACAGAAAAACAGTTTAGAGAGAACAAAAATTCTACGCTGTCAGTTTTCGAACCCGGGACCCATTGAACAAGAGACGAACGCCTTAACCTCTAGGCCACGAATGTCGCAACGTTCAAGCTTGCTTGTTTGAGACACTAGAGGTGAAAACATGATATACCCGTAGCCGTTTGTTTTAGTAAGTGTTTTACGGCGTTCGCAACTGTATAAGGTCATATGAGCGCCAAGGGGTGGATGTCAACAGAGAAGTCCTTACAGGGAATCAGGCTTACTCTGCTCACCTCTCTAGCTTCAACAGCACAAAGTCTGCTTCGACCATCAAGGCACCCCAGAAATAGTGGGTCACAAGAGTGTGACAGATATACAAAAGAGTAGAGAGAAAATGGCGATAGCAAAGATTAGGAAAGAAAAAGCAGCAGTTCCTGGTTGCAGTTCCGGCACAGTATGAGTATGACGTTGATGAATCAGCCCATTTACAATTCTACTGTGCATAAGAACATGTTAATTAATATCCCCCCTTTGGGAATGGCCTAAAGACAACTTCAGTCTGTAGCACTGCCCTGGTGGGGTTTATGTTTTAATGTTTTTTAAAAAATAATTAAATGGTGAGCTACACATGCGTGCCTTTTGTTTGAGGAGCTTGTGCTGCCGGTT